TAAGAAGAGACTGGACAGCCATTTGTCTGAAATGGTACAGGGTTTCCTGCCTGAGCAGGGGGTTGGACTAGATGACCTCCAAGGTCCCTTCCAACTTTATTATTATTATTATTATTATTATTATTATTATTATTATTATTATTATTATTATTATTATTATTATTATTATTATTATTATTATTATTATTATTATTATTATATATGATGGAATTCAGCACATTAGCCGAGTAGATACGATGGCATTTACACTGATTATTTGCTGTGGATCTGTTTTGGTTGCTATTCTAGGAACTGCTGCCCTTGGTGTTAATGTTTGAATTACCTATAGCTGGAATCCTTCAACCAATCCCCGATCCAAGTTCTCCCACCATTCAGCACATATCGCAGACGTACAATATTTCGGTGTCCTTTAAGCAGCGTTCTCGGACGTACGGCGCTACGGTCATGATCAGAGGGTCCCAGAATAACGCGAGTGCCGTGAAGGTGAATTATTGTTCCGAGCTTAATGGTTTTAGGGAGCCGTTTGATGGAGTGGGGTTTTCTTGAGTGGGTGGCTAGTAAATGGGGCTTTCAGATGTTGTGGGCTTCTTACTGGTATTGCCCAAGAGGGGAGGAGAATGTAGATCCAGAGAGTGAATTTCAGGCATAATATAAATTGCAAGTGGAGATTGCAAGTAGAAATCAGAGTTGCCTAGCCCTAGACCACATACCTGTGTTCAGATTTCAAGGTGGCTTTGCTTACAACTAAATGGGCAAAAACACTTAATGTTTGCCCAAGAAGTTTGTGCCATCAGTTTTACCTTAAAGCTGCATAGATGATGATGATGATGACGATGATATCCATTTTCTAAGGTCCTGTTTGTTGCTCTGCATAAATAAATAATTTTTAAGGTTCTACGTTTGCTTCCGTGCATAAATAAATAATCTTTCCCTACAAGCTACTGGGGTGTTTACCTGGTGATTACCAGAGTTTGTTGCTACAGGATAATTTCCTAGAAACAGGATATTAAGCCTACTGGAGTAAGCAAACCAGTTTGTTTCAAATATCTATGGAGATGCTCAGTCATCCAGATCACGGTTGTCCCAAAGGTGCTTTTTCCAAAATGCAACTGGAATTTCTTGGTGTTCCCACCCCCTTTTTTTGAAATTGTTTCGCTTCTCGTCCAGGAAGCTTCTTCCGAAGAAGATCATTCTTGGATGAGAATGGAAACGAGTTCAAAGGGGGGGGACCCAGTGTGATGACCCAAGGCACAGCACAGAGGCAATGCAGTCAGCTGGCAATTCAAACCGCCCTTTAATTGCTCCAAATTTCCCCAAATGCTCCCACTTTTCTGGCAAGCCTCCAAACAAAGGAAGACACACACACACCTTCAGCCGCCTCTGGCTGCAAGTAGTTTCACATACAGTCTGATTAGAAGAGGAATTTACTCAAGGCCACAGAGATAACAAGGAATGACACATACATCATAAACCTAACGAGTCTGTATGAATACACGCTTGCCTGAGCAGTTTCAAAAGGGAAGCCAAAATACAGTCCGAGATCTTTGAACATCCAAGCAACGTTGTCAGCCAGTCTAATAGTCAGAGTTTCCGGGTTTCCAAGCAGAAGTCATAAAACAAGAGATCAGCAACAGCACACACAACACTCCAAGGAATCAGCGTTTGTTCCCGACAAATGCCTCTCCCCACAGCATCTCCTTAAATCTCATTCTCCAGGTGTTCCTTGTGGAGAGGGGCAGGACGCTCTCCTCCTGAGTAGTTGAGCCTGCCTGCGTTGTTCTCTCCACTCTCCATGCTCTAGGATCAGGTGGGGGTGGCTCTTGCTCATTGCCTGAACTCTGCCTCTCCTGTTCCTCCTGTCCCAATCCTGAAGGGCCCTGGCCTGCCTCGGCCTGCTCTTCCCCGCATTCCTCTGAAGCCACAGACACCTCTCCCTCGACCAACATAGGGTCCCGTTCCAGCGCAGATTCGATGGAGGCATGACACCCAGGAAAATCCAGTTGCCTTTTGTTTCAAATAATTTTAAGCACAAATCTTTGCAAAATGGGAAATTTCAGAGCTTCATCTCAGAAAGAAAGGTGCTTTCCAGCCCTTTTGGAAGGCCAGAATCTGCACCAAGATAGCGAGTAGATAAGTTTCTTTCATTTTCTCTTCCTGGACAGGAAGGAACGGCTCTGCTCTTGGAGCACCTGGCCGGCAGCTTGGCCTCTGCGATCCCGGTGAGCACCCAGCTGGACATAGCAGCCCAGCACCACCTCTTTATGATGGGCCGAAATGGCAGCAACATCAAGCATATCATGCAGAGAACCGGTGCTCAGATCCATTTCCCCGATCCTAGTAATCCCCAGAAGAAATCCACGGTCTACCTCCAAGGCACAATCGAATCGGTCTGTCTTGCCAGACAATATCTCATGGTAAGTGTCCCGAAGGATGGGGGCATCAGATGTGGTGGGAACATCCGCCTTTCCTGGGTCACCAGAAGCCCCACTGAAGTTTGCTGTGACCGGTCACTTCACACTGATTCCAGATAGTCCTCCATTTACGATCACAATTGAACCCAAATTTTCTGTTGCTAAGGGAGACATTTGTTAAGTGAATTTGGCCCCATTTTATGAACTTTCTTGCCACTTTCTTAAGTGAATCACTTTAGTTGTTAAGTTAGCAACACGGTTATTAAGTGAAACTGACTCCTCCCCATTGACTTTGCTTGTCAAGGTCGCAAAAGGGGATCACGTGACCCCGGCACACTGCGGCCGTCATAAATAGGAGTCCGTTGCCAAGTGTCTAAATTTTGGTCATGTGACCCATGGGGATGCAGCAGCGGTGATAAGTCTGAAAAACGGTCATAAGTCGGTTTTTTCAGTGCTGTTGTGACTTTGGGCGGTCACTAAACGACCTGTTGTAAGTCGAGAACTATCTACACCAGTAATTAGGCAGCCTCTTTTATGAAAGAAAACCACCCAGAAATATCACGCTTGGCTGAAACTCTCTTACCCACGTCACAAATTATAATTTTTTTCCCCCTCAGAGAATGGAGTAGGAATCGGGCTCAAGAGCTCAAACCCAGGTTAGCCACCTCTGTGTGTTACTAGCTCTCAGCTACCCATACAGATAATCTGTTGTTGCACTTTCAGATAGTTTGTCATTGTTAAGACTTAACATGCAGTAGTGGCCAAAATTGTGGAGACCTTTTGGGAAAAGTGTACAGTAGAAATGCCACCTTTGGTTAAGTTTCCACCCATTTTTCTTCTAATTTCTTTACAACTGTAGCTTTCTCCACTTAATAACACTATTTTACATCACTTTCTGGGCAACCAGTCAACTCTTTGCACCATGACTTTAATTTTATTACGTTTTACAAGCTCACTCAATGAAAGAACACAAAAAAACCCAACCAACTTGATAGCCATCACACAACACACATTGACCAAAGTCCTCCTCTCAGCTTCAATACAGGACATCAATAACTGAATCCTACTGTGATCCGATTGGCTCATTGCCAAAACAAGATGACACCCGATTGGCTCTCTAAACACTCATGCTCATTGGCTACCATCAGATGAAGGAAAGTTACCTGATATCAACCTAAGCAAGTTGTGCTTCCTTTGTCCGGTTATTTGGCTATAACTTTTCATAGAATACAGTACAGATAATTGAACAAACTATGTTGCGTTACATTCTTGATTAAATTATCTTTCCATTGATATATAATTTTATGGTACTACTCCCCCCCAAAAAGTGGTGTTCTTAGCCATCAAACCTCAAAAATACACTTTTCCCAAAAGGTTTCCACAATTTTGGCCACTACTGTAGTTTCCACAGTTTACGAAATCGTGATCATGTAGGAGTCCCACTAAAGGCTTCTGTGTCTCTCTCTGAAACCAGGGGGATTGAACCGGCTTCGCTTGGCTAGTTCTTAACTCTGGTGAGACAGTTAGTTAAATTACCCACCTCAAAAATGATTATTCAGTCAGCTGGTATGGTTTTCCAATGCACCAGAAAGCAAGATAAGAAGCAAAAGAAGAAGAAGAGATGGGACAGCCATTTGCTTGGGCAGGGGGTCGACTGGATGACCTCCAGCCTCCCTCCGGCTTCTGTTCTGTTATTTGAAAATTCCTGGACACAAAAGTGAGGTTCTGACTGTATCCAGTCCAGAATTTCCTTGAGTCTGAAGTTGTCTTGTGGGTTTTTGGAATTTTGAGACTTGCAAAGTACAAAGAAGTGGTTGAAGGTTGAAATCCCACAATCCAAAGAGAGTAGCCAACAGGAGTGCTAGATGGCACCACATAAACTTGTGTCCTGTACGTACCTTGGATAGTCACTAACACAGCCATTCTTTCTTTCAATGCAGCAAGGGAGCACACATTTTATGGGATGGTAAGACCTGGCTCTCTTTATCTATTCTGTAGCATTTTAATATTCAAACCTAGTACATGCCATTTCCACATTTAAGGCATAACAAATGGGGCACATCCAGAGAAGTTCCTTGCAGAATGAAAGGTGCAAAGAACAACATGAACAGAAAGAGTTGGATTTAGACTCCGAGGTCCTTCCAACTCTACTATTCTGTTAAAAAGCTAAACTAAAGGGGGAGGTAGAACATCCACTTTAAAATATCTGAACAATTCTCATCTGAATTACGACTGTTCTTGATTGATCCAGATGGGAGAACCGACATGAAAAGTTAGGAATTGCAAATTTATGGAAAATATGGCGTTGGTTGTTGAAAGATATAACATTTTTCATCTCATCAGTGCAGTGGGCGGGATTCGCTACATATCTGTGTTGTAATGTGTTCTGCATGCGTATTTCTGTTCCCAGTGCCAAATTGTCTTGTCTTTCTGGCTCTCACATACTCATTATTGGATTTTTTTTCGTGTCTTGGAACTTGACTGGACAGTCTGCTGCATGATCATAATAGGCCTGCATGCAAATAATTAGCTCCTAGGGGTTTGTATGTATGTGTGTACGTACCTATTGCTGAAAGGATCAGAAGATTTATTCCCAAAACTCTTCTCTTAGTTTCAAAGGCTCTTAAGAAGTTTTAGTTAGGCAAAAGCTGAACTTGTAAGTTCTTGCTTATAGAGCAGATCCTATCCAGAGGTCACCAATCATTGTGCGTCTCCCATGTTCTTGAACTGCTGAGAAATTCAAATAATGAAACTTCCCGAGAAACATATTCTGTCAGTATAGAAATGTCAAACAACTGACATTTCTAGAATCTGGAAACCTCTTGTTAGACCATGTGAGTAAAATGCAGGATTGGGGATGTGTTCATGCTGGGAATGGTGAACGGCGTTGCCGTTCAACTATGTGTTGTTGCACAAAATATGAAGGGCTTCCCGGATTTTATATTGGATTTTGCATTTAATCCTCCAGGGCTGCCTTCCTCTTGTGCTGATGTTTGATATGAAGGAAGAAATTGATGTAGAACCACACTTTATTACCCAGCTGATGGAGCAGCTAGATGTCTTCATCAGTATTAAACCAAAGCCGAAACAGACAAGTAAGGTGAGTAGAACGGACTCTACTTTTTCTGGAAAAGGCTGCATTGAGCTTTTAACGACCTTGCTTTGAAAATTAAGCCGGCCTATTCTGATCATAGCAGGGACCATGAGGGCTAAAGATGCTGAACTTGTCAGCAGGAAAGCTGATAGCCCGGGTTCAAGACTCAAGCACCACGCAACGCGATGAGCTCCCCTTCCTTCCCCCAGCTCCTGGCCACCTAGCAGTTTGAAAGCATGCAAATCCAGCTAGATCAGGGGTAGGCCACCTTGGCTCTTTTATGACTCGTGGACTTCAACTCCCAGAATTCCTGAGCCAGCCATGCTGAGGGGAAAGGGAGAGGTTTCCATGCTGAGCCATGCTGGCTCAGGAATTCTGGGAGTTGAAGTCCACGAGTCATCAAAGAGCCAAGGTTGCCTACCCCTGAGCTAGATAAATAGGTGCCACTTCAGTAGGAAATTAGCAGCTTCCTGTGCACCTCGCCATATAATCGGGACCACAGGACCACAGAAGTGTCTTCAGAGAATGCTGGTTAGCTTGGCTAAGAAACAGAGATGAGCACTGCCCTCTTGTGTTGGACATGACTGGAGCAGAGGAAACCTTTACCTTTTCCTACTTTCTAATCATTATAATAATAAAGTTTGAACTATGGTGCTGGAGAAGACTCCTGCGAGTCCCCTGGACTGCAAGGCGATCAAACCGGTCGGTCCTAGAGGAGATCAACCCCGACTGCTCTTTAGAAGGCCAGATCCTGAAGGTGAAACTCAAGTACTTTGGCCACCTAATGAGAAGGAAGGACTCCCTGGAGAAGAGCCTGATTCTGGGAAAGATTGAGGGCAAGAGAAGAAGGGGACGACAGAGAATGAGGTGGCTGGATGGAGTCACTGAAGCAGTAGGCGTGAGCTTAAATGGACTCCAGAAGATGATAGAGGACAGGAAGGCCTGGAGGAACATTGTCCATGGAATCGGACACGACTTCGCAACTAAGAACAACAACAAAAATAATGAGAAATCTGTTTTAACCGCGTTTTAACAAATACTAATCCAGTGTTTGTTTAGTACGTAGGTTGAATAAGAGAGGGGAGAGTATACAGCCCTGTCTCACTTCTTTTCCACTCTGGAGCCAGCTCATTTCACCCTTGATTGTGACTTGCTCTTCTTTGTGTCGTTTTATATGAAGATAATGAGATACTCTACGATTCCCATTTTTACAAGGACCCTTGAGAGTTTAACATGATTGACACTCATCAAAGACTTTTCTATTGTCAGCGAAGCACATATTGACTTATTTTGGGTATTCCTTGGTTTTCTAAATAGGTCAGCAGACATCAGCAATAATACGTCCTGTTCCTTGGCCTTTTCTAAAAACCATCTTGAACATCTGGGCTCTAATTTGTGTTGGATGATCCCAGACATTATTTCACTGTCATGTGAAATTAAGTCTATTGTGTAATAATTTGCACACTGTTAAATTTCCTTTCTTTGGTCTTGCTGTGTTGTGTTATTTAACGAGGAACCAGCGTGTCTAGCTGCCACAATGTAATATCTAATGTAAATAATGAAGATCTTTATTAATTAGCAAATGATGTCTTTGTAATGACTTCATCAGATTATATTTTTAATATCAAGTTAATTCCTACAAAAGTACCAGAATGTTTGCCTTCAATGTTGGTCTGAAGCTTCCAAGAAAAACAAAGATGTAGCCAGTATCTCACTATTATGTAATTTTAAGAGAAACACAAGCAAGGGATACAATCAGACCAGATGTTTTTTTCAAAGTTCTTCCTAGCCCTGATCTTCTTAGGCTGATGCACAGATAACAAGGGAAGACTCTTTCGACAACTTGACAAAATGCAGTTAACAGCCCAATATGCAGAATAAAGCAGCCCAATAAAGCAGCCCTTGTTTTGCCACCAAGATGAATTAAACCAGTTCTTGTTCTCTGTCAAAACATGATTTTTCCTTGTCACAATTATTGTGGTGACTTGTCTGTGAAGGAAAGTTGGCATAATAAAGTTAAATGTGGTGATGGGGAATCTCAGAGCTCTAGAAAATGAGAAATCCAGTTTCTCTAGGCCTGTATGTTGAGGGGAAAAAAGTTATGAACTGATATTTTTATTTGACTTGGGAAACACTGCGATGTGCTACTGATGTAATAAATTTGAAAAGTCTCCATAATTTCCTGCTAAGTTCTAAACAAGGCCAGGAATCTGAGCTTAGAGCTTGGCTGCCTAAAGCAGAGATAACTACATTTATATCAAAGATTTGGATATTGTTGGGTGGTGTGATTCTAAATGAGGCCGAAATGTTGAATGCACCTTTACACAAAGCCTAATTTAGTTCATCTTCCAAAATATTACAGAACAGGGACATTGTTTCAATGACTGTATATTTGGTATTGTAGCCAAGAATCCCTTACCATTCCAGATTTTTTGTATAACTCAAAAGTATGTAGTTTAGGAGCCACAGCTATTCTCTTTCTGTTACTACTAGGAGGAGCTTTCTTCAAGAGTGGATTTGTAAACAAGGCTGGTGACTCTTTCCAGTTGTCTGGAATTGTTTGAAACATGTGTCAGAAACTCACGTCCGTGTTTTCTTTTCGCAGTCTGTGATCGTGAAAAGCGTTGAGCGAAATGCCTTAAATATGTATGAAGCACGGAAATGTCTCCTGGGTCTGGAAAGCAGTGGCATTGCTATAGCGACAAATCCCTCCCCCATCTCTTGCCCGGTTGGCCTTCCTTGTCCTGGCTTGGACATCTTGACCTCAGCCGGCCTTGGACTAACTGGACTTGGTATGATCTACAATCTAATATTTTCAAATCTCTTCAGAATGAGCTGTATTAACCATGCACTTTCAAGGTTTAAGGCTGGGGTGTCCAACCTTGGCCGTTTTAAGACCTATGGACTTCAACTCCCAGAGTTGAATTCATGGCTGGCTCAGGAATTCTGGGAGTTGAAGTCCACAGGTCTTAACGTGGCCAAGGCTGGACACTGCTGGTGTACGGATTTATTTAAAAAGTAGGCTGAACAATAGCTTGAACATGTAAAACTATCTTGATATGTGTGTGTGTTTCTTGTACATAAGAAAAGACAATCATGGAAGAAAAACATCTGTTTAACTTATGAGAGGAAATGGAAGAATTAGAGAAGAACTTGGAAATTTAAGGTAGGAATTTATGGAGGTAGGGAGGCTGTCAGCAGCGAAGGAAGAATTTGCAGTCATAGATGTTAAGTTGTAGTTGTTGAGTTAAGCCAGGAGTTGCCTGAATAAAACCTTGATGACCTGTTTCCAAGGTAGACTGTTGACTGTCTTCTTTGAAGAACAAAACAGAAGGGAACCCCACTTCTTGTTTCAAAGGTCCTTTTTCAAGAGGCAACTGGATTTTCTTTGTTTTTCCTTGAAGATGTTTCACTTCTCATCCATCTTTAGTTCAGAACTGAAGAAGCTTCTTGGATGAGAAGTGAAACATCTTCAAGGAAAAACAAAGAAAGTCCAGTTGCCTCTTGAAAAAGCACCTTTTGGACAACCATGACCTGGATGACCGAGAACCTCCATAGACAAACCCCATTTCTTGTTAGCAGCATCCAAGGAGAGAAGTAGGCATCTTGCTCATCTAGAGTGGATCTTCCTTGAGAATTGTTCATCATCCAACAGAAGAGCAAAATCACTCATTCAATTTTGCATCGGTCTTTAAAACCATTGGTTGTACGTCTACAGGGTTGTAAAATCTCTTTTACTTATCTTTTTTTTTCATAGGTCTTTTGGGTCCAACCACTTTATCTGTCAACACATCCACACCCCCAAACTCTCTCCTAAATGCTCTCAATAGTTCGGTTAGTCCTTTGCAGAGTCCAAGTTCAAACACACCAAGTTCAACTCTCTGGGCTTCCTCAATCGCTAATACAAGCTCTGCAGGTTGGTATTTTGGGTTTAAATTTGGGACATTTTAAATAGACCAATGTAGCACACACACACACACACACACACACACACACAGAGAGAGAGAGAGAGAGACCCTAAACATGCGGAAGAGGACATTAAAATGATGCCACTATTTCAAGACATGATCACTGTAAACTGAGATCGTTTGAGTCCTTGGGACTTCCTGATGGGCATAGAGTGTGCCTGTTCATTTCATTGTGGTTTGTGGTGGAGCACCTGCTTTGCATCCAGAAGACCCTAGTTTAGTCCTTGGCATTTCAAGAACCTAGTAAAGCAAAAGCTTTTCCTAGGGCCGGGGTAGACCACCTTGGCTCTTTTATGACTCGTGGACTTCAACTCCCAGAATTCCTGAGCCAGCCATGCTGAGGGGAAAGGGAGAGGTTTCCAAGCTGAGCCGTGCTGGCTCAGGAATTCTGGGAGTTGAAGTCCACGAGTCATAAAAGAGCCAAGGTTGCCTACCCCTGGCCTAGGAAAACGGCAAGTCTGGGCTAGTCCATATTCTATGCAATCTTGCTCTGCTGAATTGCAAATTGATCACAGGTAGACCTCCACTTACAATGACTCATGGATGCTGAAAAAAGTGACTTGCAACCAGTCCTCTCACTTGCTCTCAATTTTATTCAAACAATGTCAATTAAAAAAAACAAAAAAGACAAAAACACATATTATCTCCCCCTAGCTGAACACTGACAAATCTTTTGCAACCAAAATGGCTTCCTCCCTTGCAAAGCAGGTCCAAAATGGATAAGCACCTACCTCTCTTTGCAAGCCAGTTGACTTTTCTCACACTTCACAACATCCCCGTAAGCACATGATCAAAACTGGAGCGCTTGGCAACTGGCTTGTATTCATGACGGTTCCAGCGTCCCAGGGTCACAAGATTGCCACGTGTGACCTTCCCTGCCAGTTTCACAAAGTCAATGGAAAAAGCTGGATTTGCTTAACGACTAAGAGATTCGCTTAACTGTAGCAAAAAAAAAAAAAGGTTGTAAAATCCGGTGTGACTCACCTCACTTAGAGAAGTTCCGGTCCCAATTGTGTTTGTAAGTTGTGGATTCCCTGTATCTGCTTAGGACTTTAGGTATCTTCAACCTCAGCAGAAATGAGGCAGAACGTCTGACATTTTCTTCCAGGTTTCTCTGCTATTCCTCACCTGATGATGCCGCCTACTGCACAAGCCACGTTAACCAGTATCTTGTTGTCAGGAGTGCCCAACTATGGTCAGAGCACACCGTCTCCCCCTCCCGGCTTAACTCCTGTTGATATTCATGTGAATGGCATGCAAGTGGAGAGCAAGAAAAACCCAACCTCATCATTAAATGGTCATGTAAAGGTAAACAGATGACCTCAGGGTACAACCCTAGCAGATTTATGAGAGAGTGAATTCCAACTAGCTAAGCAGAATTTTCTTTCGTGCACATTCTATGTAATAGCAGTAGCGCTTAGCCTTATATACTGCTTCACAGTGCTTTTATAGCCCTCTAAGCAGTTTACAGAGTCAGCCTATTTGCCCCCAACAATCTGGGTCCTCATTTTACCGACCTTGGAAGATGGAAGGCTGAGTCAATCTTGAACCAGTCAGGATTGAACTCCAGGCAGTGGGCAGAGTTAGCCTGCAGTACTGCATTCTAACCACTGCGCCACCACAACTCATATCAAACATGCAAAAATAAAGCTTATTTTTAATTGAGCTTAAATACTAGTGCACTTTACTCGGCAACTAACACAATCGTTACTGCTCCTTTTTCTAGGACGTTACTTTTTCAGCGGAACTTTACCAGGATACATTTTTGTTAGAGACTTTGCATATCATATATAGTATAACTTAGACATTCTGGCTTCTGATGGCGTGAAAATAATTATGCCATTTTATTAGGGTAGCTTTCTTACACCGTAGAAAGTTGTAGAAAACGATGTCAAACCATTGTTAAAATTGGCATTCTGAAATTTTATTTTTCAACAGTGCCAAAGCTAATGCCAACACAGTTAATAAGGAATGATTCAGTGAAGCCTAGAAGACACATATTGAAAAACCTAAATCTGGTTTCAAGTAGATGGTTTGACATTATGTAAACGTAGGAGAGCAATTCTACTCAGAGGCACAGGAGGCCAAGTGTTGTTGTGCCCAAAGCTTATTTAAATATTCTCCTCCTATTAAAGATCATTGTTCAGTATATATATACAGTATTGGCCAAAATTGTGGAAACCTTTTGGGAAAAGTGTATAGTAGAAATGCCACCTTTGGTTAAGTTTCCACCCATTTTTCTTCTAATTTCTTTATAACTGTAGCCTTGTTCACTTCATAATACTATTTTACATCGCTTTCTGGGCAACCAGTCAACTCTTTGCACCAATACTTTAATTTTAACACGTTTTACAAGCTCACTCAATGAAAGAACACAAAAAACCCAACCAACTGGATGGCGATCACATAACACACTGACAAATGTCCTCCTCTCGGCTTCAATACAGGACATCAATAACTGAATCCTACTGTGATCTGATTGGCTCATGGCCAAAACAAGATGACACCCGATTGGCTCTCTAAACACTCACGCTCATTGGCTACAATCGGATGAAGGAAAGCTACCTGAGATCAACCTAAGCATATAATGTGCTTCCTTTTTCTGGTTATTTGGCTATAACGTTTCATAGAATACAGAACAGATAATTGAACAAACTTTGTTGTATTACATTCTTGATTAAATTATCTTTCTATTGATATATAATTTTATGCTACCACTCCCCCCCAAAAAGTGGTGTTATTAGCCATCAAACCTCAAAAATACACTTTTCCCAAAAGGTTTCCACAATTTTGGCCACTACTGTATGTATATGTGTGTGTGTCTATATATATGTATATGTGTATGTGTATGTATGTATGTATGTATGTATGTTACTATTTTATTAGTTTATCAAAATATAAAATACAGAAGTACAAGAAAAAATAAAAATAATAAAAAAACAAGGGAGGGAAAGGGAAAGAGAGAAAAGTGTAGGGTAGAGGGGGGGGGGAAAGAAAAACATTGACTTCTGATTCCTTTTGGTGCAGTAGAACAAAGTAGTAACATGAAACCTCAACTTTTTATGTTTCAAAAACCATTTTTCAAGATTCATTTCAGTTCATCTGTCCCTGTCTAGATAACAAAGTGGGCATGAATCGGTTGCCAAGTCAGTGGGGGAGATTCTCATTGGTTCCTATAAAACCCACAGAGGCACAGTTGATGAGTGGTGGTCATAAAAATCAAGCGAAGGGGCCCACCTTGATGAGTTTCCAATATATATGTTTAACACTGACAATTCGGTTCTATTAGAAAATGCAAAGTGCTGCATTCTAGCACCTTTTTAAAAATAATAATACGGTAATAATAATAATCTTGATCCTGAGTATCCACAGACAGGTGAGGGGGGAGTAAAATTATTAGATCACCTATTCATAATTTTTTTTTTTTGCGGGGGAAAAAAGAGATATTAAGTAATTAAGGAGGGTCATTAATGGGTTTTCTTTTTCCAAAGTCTAAGATGATTAAACCTAGGTTAAACATACTGTTCCAGACCTCAGCTATGAAGTATCCTGCATTCTCTGCCACAGCTCTTGGTGAAAATGTACTAAATGCAAACCACAGCGATCCTTCTCGGACGATTGGTAGCCACAATGCCACTGAACAAGTGACGGCCAAGACGAATTCTGGCGAAGGTATAACCAAAACTACCGCGGCGTGCTCCCATTTTTCCACTGTAGGAGGACAGCACAAGCTCTTGGGCTAAAGGGGGTCGTCTTAAGAAGGATGCTGGGAAGACCAGCTGTGTTATTGCTATTATAAAAATAGAAATATGCCCCAAACCACAAGGCAGGGAAGCCTGTGCAGGTCAATTAAAAATTGCTCAAGATCAAATGATGAAAACATTTCTAAAATATCTGTTTCTGGGCAAAAGAATTTCTTGGTAGATTGATTCAGAGTAACAAACCATTATAGGTTAATACAAATAATGATATCTGGGCTTAAAAATGCCTAGTTGTGTTTCAAGGGGTAGTTGTTCTAAACTAACTTCTCTCATGCAGAGAAGTGAGAAACTCAAGATTAAAGGAAATTAGGGAACAGAAGCTTTACATTTCTTCTCCTCACAAAACAAAAACTTTGGGATTTTGAGGTTTGTGTGAACAGCCTGCAATTTTTTTTTTTTTTACAATGAACTAGGCTGGTAACACTGCCCCAAAAAGGAAGTTATATACAGAGGTATACATCTTATTTTGTTAATCCCATTTATAAACAATAGAAGTAGTCTATCCTAGCAGAATCATGGCCCATGTGTCTTAATACTTGTCCTAAATATACATGTGACTCAACAAATGTTTTTTTAAAAAAATATCTGATTCGTTGTCTGTTCCTATGTTAATAAAGACTAGATATTTCATGAAAGAGAAAGAAGACACAATTTACTTTAAAACATGGGGAAAATTTTATTATTGGTTAGAAACACGGTAGAATGAGAAAAGGTTATGAAATTTAAAGAGATAATTGATAATTTGTATTTATATTCCATGATTATTTGTATGAACTTGTTCTTATTTCTTCTTCTTCTTCTTCCTCTTTGTATATTTGTGATCTTAAATAATATGGTAAACTATAATTAATATGTAATATATTATTATTTTAAAGTGATTATAATTAATTAATACTAAGCATTGTTAAATAGTGAAATGAATGAGATTTATTGACTAATTTGTTATTTACATGATTATATGGAAAGTTGTTTAATAATAGAGTAATTATTAAGATTTAATATATAAACCCGGACTGGTAGACTTGCTGAAGCGATGTTATTTTGTGTGATTAATCCCACTTTTGTGTTACCCCTTTCCCCTGGTCTAGTCTTTTTGTATGTTTCCCATTGTCTTATCCTTTTTGACCCTATCCCTTTATTACCTTTATAAAACTCAATAAAAATATTTATATATAAAAAAAAGACTAGATATTTTGGTCCTAGGAAACTTCTGGATCCTAAGATATAAAGATGGCAGTGAGCAATTTTTTTATGAAATGACGCAGACTAGCTGAAAAAGAAGACAACCCCAAGCCCTTTTAGCCATAACAATTCCTCTTTTTAGTGAAGGGGAAATTTTATGATGGCTTTCTCCAGATGTTACATGCCCATTAAGAAGACCTCTAGCTTGCATCATCAGCAATGGGGGTCCGTCTAATTGGTTGCTCTCTGTCCTTTGTAGGTTGCAATGATGCTTTTGTGGAAGTGGGCATGCCCAGGAGTCCTTCACACTCGGCAAATGCCAACGACCTTAAGCAGATGATGAGCACCTCTAAGCAATCCTGCACGAAGAGGCAGACGGTGGAATTGCTGCAAGGCACCAAAAATTCTCGTTTACAGTATGTAACATTTATAAAGATACGGTTGTGCAAAGGGGGGGGGAGAGGTTTAACGTGTTTTCGGTGGGGCTGTTGTGTTAATAAAAACATCATTTGCAACACATCCACAGAGGGAGCTTCTTGTACAAGGTGCACAGTGCAAGAGAGCCAGGATCTTTTACAATCTCCTGATGGTTTTGATTTGGTTGACGTGCTTTTCCCCCTCAAAATGGTGCTACTTGTGCAGTATTAATATAACGTTACCCCTTCACCGATCCTAACATTCCTAACATTGTAAATATGGTTTGCTAGGCTGTGAGAGTAATGCAGGCAACGATCTACATATTGAGATATCATCATTTTTGATTTATCATTAATCTCTTAGCCGTGGCTCTTTTGCTCCCTCTGAGAAAATTAGTGACTATTTCAGTCAGGCATTAAGTTATTTGTAAGCGTCTTTATTTCATTTTCCAAATTCCTTCTGAGGGTAGGTCATGATTCATAGCGGAGAGTCTGTCTGGGGGAAAGTCAGGTGTAAAAGATCCTACTGACTCTGAGGGAGGGTTTACAGAGAGAGTAACTGCGTCCTCTTTTCCTCCTGGCTTATTTTAATGGCGAGGACAGTAGAGAGCCAGTAAGATGATTCCCAGTTTTTCTTCGTATCCTAAGGCAGGAAAATGAACCAAACAAGAGAGCAGAAGAGATTGCAGACCTGGCTTCCAGGGCCTATTTCAAACAATAAGATCAAAATGAGTTTCAGAGAGTGTCTTCTGTCTTTAGCTGTAACGGCAGCATTAACAGTCAAGCAATGGAGAAGAAACATCAGCTTCTAGGTTGGTAGGCCCTGAAGTTGCCCTTGAATTACAAGGAGATTCTGGAGAGAAGAGGGGAGAGTCCATAGAGAGTGTTTTTGGTCAACCTTGACAAAACATTGGCTTTGCTGGCTGGGGAATTCTGGAAGCTGAAGTCCACATCTCCTCAAGATGCTAAACACTGATTGATAGTGTTGGTTCCCAGACAGGCTTCCCAGTACATGGGAATCAAGCTGTGGAGAAAACCATTGTAATCTCAATGCTTTTGGTATAAAAAAGAAAGAAAAGACACTTAAGAAGTATCCAAGATAGGTGGGTAGCCCATTAAATGAAGGTATCCATGATCTTTTAAACCAAGTTTAATGAAAGGAACAGAAGAAGGCAAGAGAGGAAGGAAGGGAAAGGAAAGGAAAGGACAAGAAGATATAGGATAGGACAGTAATGGCGAACCTTTTAGAGACCGAGTGCCCAAAACCCGCAACCCGCCCCTGCTCTGCCCCTGCCCGCCCCCTGCCCTGCCCACCCGCAGGACCACCCACCTCCTCCATGGCCCACCACAGATCGCCCAGGTGGCCCTGCAGCGTCATAGCAGCCATGCCCTCTGCCCGTACCCCGCAACATCATCTGTGCGCTACAGGGCGTGAGGGCGGAGTCTTGTCCCTGCTGCCTGGCTGCCATGTCCTTGGCTGCCTGGGGGTGACTCTCCTCCAGGTGGGGCTGCTGGTGAGGAGGGAGCCGTGGGGGGAGGCGGGGCTGGGACAGCGCGTGTGGCCACAGAGAGGGCTCCGAGTGCTGCCTCTGGCACGCGTGCGATAGGTTCGCCATCACTGGGATAGGATAAGATAGGATAGGATAGGATTGGACAGGACAGGACAGGACAGGACAGGACAGGAAAGGAAAGGAAAGGAAAGGAAAGGAAAGGAAAGGAAAGGACAAGAAGATATAGGATAGGACAGGACAGGACAGGGAAAGAGAAAGGAAAGGAAAGGAAAGGAAAGGAAAGGAAAGGAAAAGTACACCTGTCTTTTTTTTCAGCGCGGGGGAGAGGTTGCTGTCGGATTCTGAGCTGAGTGCTTCAGAGACCACGGTGGCTGATAAAAAGGCACCTGGAAGCGAACGGGCAGCCGAGCGGGCGGCCGCAGCCCAGCAGAACTCAGAAAGAGCACACCTGGGCCCCCAGTCGACGTATGTGGATATGCAGGTATTGACGCCTCCAAGGATGGATTTCCACTCTATGAAGGGCTGTGTGTGGGAGTTGTGCCTGAGCTTTGCTGTTTTCTTGCAGCTGCACTAGAAGGGAGTGAGGTTTCCTCTCTTTATAGACTGTTGGGTTTGCCTTAACAGTGTGGGTGTGATGTTCTTGGTGATTCCTTCATTAGGCTGTTGTTTACTGCCTGATTGTTGGTCTGGTATCAATCCTGGTGTTAACCCCTGCTTATCTGGATGTTGACGGGAGAGAGTAAACCCCACTCTCTTCCAGCACTGGTGATGTCACCCGGTTGGGTAATGAAATGCCTGCAAGAAAACCATCAAGCTCAGAGAGCGCGAGGGACCCTACAATTCAACCCTGAGCTACTTCTGTTGGTAGAGCAGTCTCTGCATTGCACTAATAGAGGGGTGTCAAACTCAATTTCATTGAGGGCCGCATCAGCATTGCGGTTGCCCTCGGGGGGGCGGGGGGGTGTGGCGGGGGGGTGTGGCCAAGGTGGGTGCAGCCTACTGGGTGGGCGTGAATGGAGTGGGTGTGGCCTACTGGGTGGGCATGGCCAGCTCTACATCGTTTGCGTCAAGGGTGCCTGTGGGGGCCTGGGCAGGAGTGGGACAGATCTGAGGGTCTCTGGCAGAAGGGGGTGGGACCAGGGCAAGCGCCAAGGCATGGTCCATTTCTTCATTCCTCACAAAGGGTGACACCTCCCCAGCATGCACCCAGGGGGAGGGGTCGACATGGCAGGGGCTGGTTCCTCGCTGTTTCCAGACGGCCTTGTGGAGCTAAGACTGAATGCATTTCAGCATAGATGGCCACCACAAAATTGTACATTGGCTCCTACCAGCCTGGGCCAGGGCCAAGGCAGAGGGGGCCATTCCCTCACTGTTTCCAGGATGGCTTTGCAGGCCACATGAAACCACTTCACGGGCCGCATCCGGCCCCCGGGCCTTGTGTTCGACATGTCTGCACTAATACAACCACCACCAGAGATTTATGCACTGCTCTTCCGGTGAGGCAGTCATCTGGACATTCCCAATACTTCGAAATGGATTGCTCATGCTTCCAAGTTTTTCCTCAGTGGATGTTGCAGCCCTAATTAGCTGGTTTTAAGTGGGATTTTTTAAGTATTATCAAAGTTTCATTGCTGGGCAGTGCGAAGGGTTCCTCTGAGACTAACCGACGGACCCCGATCCAGATCTTTGTGGCTTGTGGAGCAGAGTGTCGGCGTGACCTTTAGCAAGGGCAGTGATTAAGTGGCCTTCTCTGGGTTTCATTTCTAGGCATTTGACTACGAACAGAAGAAGCTACTAGCAACCAAAGGTATGTGGGACAACGGGGACTTGCAGTGTGTATTTATTAGTAAGCAGAGCGATGAAGGAGGCTTTGCTTGCCCGCCCCCTGCCATCCATTCCCTTCTGCCCTCGGTTTGGGCTCTGTTCCAGTGGAGAAACTGTAGCTTAGACAACATGTTTTGCAATCCAACTCGTCTTTGTGTCTTTTCTTCCCCTTGAAAGTCTCCTGGAGTTACATTTTCTGAGCAAACAGGATCCCTTTCCTGACTACGAGGCCCGTTTTTATGGGGCGGTGATCAGGACATTTGCCCCGCCTGTTACTGGATTATTCCTACTTCTGTTTTACCTTTTTCACTCTTCAAAATGCACAGGTCTTGGGAGTTGCTTTTCTCTAACGTTAAGCAGTGTATATCCTTGTTTTATGCCACTTGGGAGGGTTGAAAGCTTCATGCATCCTTGTTCACCATACACAAAGACAAACAGGGTTTCAGGCCAGCTGTGTTTCTTCCTTCAGTTGGCACATTTGAGATACATGCACATCAGCATGTTGCGTGTACAGTAGTGGCCAAAATTGTGGAAACCTTTTGGGAAAAGTGTATTTTTGAGGTTTGATGGCTAATAACACCACTTTTTTGGGGGGGAGTAGTGCCCTAAAATTATATATCAATGGAAAGATAATTTAATCAAGAATGTAATGCGACAAAGTTTGTTCAATTATCTGCACTGCATTCTATGAAAAGTTATAGCCAAATATCCAGAAAAAGGAAGCACAACTTGCTTAGGTTGATCTCAGGTAGCTTTCCTTCCTCTGATGGTAGCCAATGAGCGTGAGTGTTTAGAGAGCCAATCGGGTGTCATCTTGTTTTGGCGATGAGCCAATCAGATCACAGTAGGAGTCAGTGATTGGTGTCCTGTATTGAAGCTGAGAGGAGGACATTTGTCAGTGTGTTATGGGATCACTATCAAGTTGGTTGGGTTTTTTTTGTGCTCTTTCATTGAGTGAGCTTGTAAAACATGATAAAATTAAAGTCACGGTGCAAAGAGGTGACTGGACGCCCAGAAAGTGATATAAAGTAGTATTATGAAGTGAACAAGGCTACAGTTATAAAGAAATTAAAAGAAAAATGGGTGGAAACTTAACCAAAAAGTGGCATTTCTACTGTACACTTTTCCCAAAAGGTTTCCACAATTTTGGCCACTACTGTAGGTTTCCCTTGAAGAGAGCCAGGTATATCTCATGTGCTGGCGGGCTGCTCGTATCCAGCAGCTTGCTGTCGCTTTCATTTTCAACCTGTAGTTAACCAAAACAATTGGTCTCAATAGATCTGTGACAGATCTATTGCCTTTTCTGACCCAAATCCACTCTAAATTATGAAGTGGCACTAGCAAGTTTAAAATATTTGGGAAATGGTAAAAGCAGAGAGTGGAAGATATTCTGGAACTAATCATCCACCGTCTAAAGAATTTTGCTTGCTTTAAACAAAAAACAAACAAAAACCCACTGATGCTTATAAATATGCTTTCTGCCCCCTTAAAGCTATGCTAAGAAAGCCTGTTGTTACGGAGGTGAGAACACCCACAAACACCTGGAGTGGGCTGGGCTTCTCCAAATCGATGCCGGCCGAAACCATTAAGGAACTGAGAAGGGCAAACCACGTGGCCTACAAGCCATCTATGTCGACAACTTATGAGGTATGCACAACTGCAGTGTGTGCTTAGCATGAAAAAGAAGAAATTGGAGCTTTTGGTCTGAACTTGGGGCAGGTTGTGTCTGAGGTTTGCTGCTGGGACTTCCAAGGTCTCTCTGACAAAGGTCTGTTTGTCCTGACTCCACCAGGCCTCCGTGAAACTGTGGATTGTGTTAACGTTGTTGTTTTTTTGTGTGTGTGTGTGCATGCAGGAGGCAATCTTAATTCACTGTACATTGTTTATTCCATAAATACTTCAGTGTCATGTTGTCTTCCAGCCATTTTTCTCTTTCTCCTTAGGAGTTCATTAGAGGGGACACACACACACATACACACACACACACACACACACACATATCTCAGACTGTATCTGAGTCACTTGGCTGTAACCCCAGGATCAAACCACAGCCTGAGTTCTCTGCTCCGTAAGCTATTTTTTTTTTTCAGAGATTCAGGCATCTGTTGTTTTTCCTACACTTGGAACATGTGGGGGGAAATAATTTTAAAAAACAAAAACCAAAACGATCTATTGCTTTGTTTTTTTCCTCCTTGCGTTGGGTTGTTTTCAGAATGTCCGCTAGTCTTAGAAACACTGGTTTTAAAAAAAGGATTAGTTTGAATTGGGACAAGCTAGTATAGTGATGGCGAACCTTTTAGAGACCGAGTGCCCAAACCGCAACCCAAAACCCATTTATTTATCGCAAAGTGCCAGGGCCGCATCAGCATTGTGATGCCCTTGGGGGGGGGACAGGGAGGTGCCTCTGAGTGCTGCCTCTGGCACGCAAAAACTGGGGGTGCAAAAATGGGCCACCGTGCTGCAAGGTGCAAAAACGGCCACCGCCGCACTGCAGGGTGCAGATACCAGGCGCTGCATCACGCAAGAACGGGACAGGGCTAGTGAGTATCACGCAGGCACTAGCCCCGCCCCATTTGCAGTGCAAAATGCTTCCCCCTCCCTTTTCTTCCAGTCCAACAATGGTTTGTGAGCTCTGCTAGACCACCTCTACTCAAGCTTGCTAGTCGGCTGCTTTGCCTCCTTTTGCTGGGTGGGACTCCTGCTCCGGGCGGCGGTGGCGGCCTGATGGACCTGCTGCTGGAGGTGGTGCGCGTGCTAACAGAGAGGGTTCTGAGTGCCACCTCTGGCATGCATGCCATAGGTTCGCCACCACAGACCTAGTAGGACACAGTGTGCCACAAATGACAAAGTTAAAATTAATCGAACGAAAACACCGTTGCTTTGATAATGCTGAGTGTTGCCAACAATTCTTTATTTGTGTATGCCTTTTCCTAAAATACTTAAGACTTCTCCGACAAGAATATGTTTTTTAACAAAATATTGCTCATTCATCTAAGCTAATGGGTTGCACCATTGGTATCATGTCTTTGAGTAAGCCAAGTTGACAGTATGTCCACCCGTCCTGGTCACACCTCTTCCTGCTGACTTCCTTGCAGGCTTCCTCCATGTCCCTCTCCCGATCCAACAGCCGGGAACACCTGGGGAGCGGGAGCGATTCCGACAACTGGAGAGATCACAACGGCATTAGTTCAACTGCTCCGGGGGACTATGTTTCTTCCATCGGAAGCCCTAAACGAAAACAAAAATCAAGTAAGGATTTACCCTGTTGGTTAGGTCAGAGTTCTCATGAAGAGCTAATGACTTGAATAAAAGTTAGCTCCAACTTGGCTTAGGCTAACCAAGCTCCGTTAGTTTGCATCAAGCTATAATTATAAATGGTAGGCTATTAGGAGAGAGCTACATCCTGTTAGAAACATTAGAAAATTTATGACAATAATGGCTCCTTGTCACATTTCTTCCCTCTGTTATGACTTTGCTTCTTCTTCTTCTCCTCCATGTCCAAATGTCATCATATAGTTTTATTCTCTCAGGCCACATCACAAGAGATAGAATCGGCCGGGGTGCCCCAAAGCAGCGTCCCCCACTTTTGGGATGGCACGTAATTTTTGCCTTCCTCCAACCAACACTTGTGTTCTGTTTCCATGAAAACAAAGATGTTCACCCTGTTGACCCATGACTGTTGTGCCAGGTTTGCCACCAACCATATTGTGAAATTCGCAGATGATACAACAGTAGTGGGCCTTATTCAGGATGACAAGGTGGAAGCTTACCGCAAGGAGGTTGAGGGGTTGATGAACTGGTGTAAGGAAAACATCCTAGTTTTTAAATACCAGAAAAACCAAAGAAATCATTGTCGATTTCAGAAAAGGCAGGTACAGCCACACTTCTCTGTGCATCAATGATTCACCTGAGGAGATGGTTACCAGCATGAAATTCCTGGGTGTGCAGCTAACGAGTAGGCTGGCTTGGTCGCTCAACAGTGAGAAACTGGTGAAGCGGGCACAGCAGCGACTGTATTTTCTGCATCGCATGAGAAAAGCACACCTTCTTTCCCCTGTCCTGACCACTTTCTACAGGGGGACGATCGAGAGCATCCTGTCATACAGCATCACAGTCTGGTTTGGAAGCATCCCTGCTTCAGACAGGAAGGCGGTGCAGAGAGTGGTGAGGATGGCCGAAAAGATCATTGGCCGTTCCCTCCCTCCCATCCAGGACATGGCACAGAAGCGTTGCTTGAGCAGGGTCCATAAGATTATCTGGGACTCTACACATCCTCTTCACGACCTGTTTTCCTTGTTACCTTCTGGGAGGAGGGGGCTTCGTGGTATCCGAAGCAGAACATCCAGATTCAGCCATAGTTTCATTCCATACAGTATTAACCTTGTGAACTCTCAAGCTTCCTCCTTCCGTTATGTATTCAAGATGGACAGTATTTAATATATATTTGTTACATATATGTAGGGGTGTGGGTCTATACATATGTTGTTCATAGTATGTTTAGGTGTGTGTCATGTATGTGTTTCACTTTGAGAGCGGGCAACTCAATTTCATTTTTGATGTGTGCCGTTGTGCCCACGGTTAAAAAAAATGTCAATAAAGGTTATCTTATCATATCTCTTATCTAAAACCTTGGTAATTCAACAGCAGGTAGATATTCTCTTCGGTACTTCTTGGCAGCTTGCAAACACTGGAATTTAAGCAGATGAATAGGCTCCTCAGCCTAAAGCGAACCCAACCTAACCAGAAGCTTATTTCCTCTTGAACTTCTAGGTGAGCATTATCTCAGCAGTAGCAACTACATGGATTGCATCTCCTCCCTGATAGGAAGCAACGGCTGTAACCTGAACAGTCTGTTTAAGGGATCTGACCTACCTGAGTTATTCAGCAAACTGGGCCTGGGTAAATACACAGACATATTTCAGCAACAAGAGGTCAGTGTTCGTGAAAGGCTTGGTGGTGGTGGTTCCTTGTAGACTATTTTGATTGCTTTCCAAATGAAATCGTTCCCATCTGCTGACTATCATTAATAATAATAATAATAATAATAATAATAATAACAACAACAACAACAACAACAACAACAACATCAACAAAGACCTACAAATAGAAATAAAAAGACTGTGGCAAAAGCAAGCAAGGGTAGTACCAATAGTAATAGGCACCTTGGGTGCAATCCCAAAACAACTGGAGCACCACTTGAACACCATTGGCATTGACAAATTCGCCATTAGTCAATTGCAAAAGGCGGCCTTACTAGGAACTGCTTTCATCCTGCGACGATATCTGTAATACCATCAAACATCCACATCTGCCTATCCCAGGTCCTTGGGAAGGACTCGTTAGGTAGACAAAAATGCCATATTCAGTCTAAACATCTGGCTGACTGTGCGCTGATCAATAATAATAGTAGTAGTAGTAGTAGTAGTAGTAGTAGTAGTAGTAGTAAAGTTGGAAGGGACCTTGGAGGTCATCTAGTCCAACCCCCTGCTCAGGCAGGAAACCCTACACCATTTAGGACAAATGGCTGTCCAGTCTCTTCTTCAAAACTTCCAGTGTTGGAGCATTCACCGCTTCTGGAGGCAGGTTGTTCCACTGGTTAATTGTTCTCACTGTCAGGAAGTTTCTCCTTAGTTCTAGGTTGCTTCTCTCCTTGATTAGTTTCCATCCGTTGCTTCTTGTCCTGCCTTCAGGCGCTTTGGAGAACAGCTTGACTCCCTCTTCTTTGGGGCAGCCCCTGAGATACTGGAACACTGCTATCATTGTTCATCAAGTCCACAGATTCATTCCTTGGCTGTAGGAATAGCTACCAGTAGCTTCAGGCCTTGCTGTTTTTGAAGTGCTATGTTCAGAGGCCCAATTCTGCACCCTCAAACCAATTTCTATTGTTGGTCATCATATCTAAAAACTTGCTCTCTGGAGGGAATATGAGTCTGATTTGCAGCACGGGTGTTATCAGCAAGCCCATAACTCACTGCTTGGGAAATTCAGCAGGAAGGCAGGTGATCCCGATGGTCTGAAGACCACCCACCCAGAGTTACCTTGTGATACGACGGGCGGTCAATAAATTTGATAAATAAATAAAAGCAAATAGATAAGACTGGTGGCCGTCAAAAATGATCAGAATGGGATACCTCGATGGGACTGCAGAAAAAGTAGGGACTTTCCTGTGAACCTTCACACGGTGTGTTAGTTCATTCAGTTGTATAGATGCAAAGTTGTGTTCTTTGATAGAGATAGTTGAAACATTATATGCATATGTAAACATACATGCAGACATGTGTCACAAAGTGTGTGTTTATGTATCCTGATCCCGGCTTCTTTGCCTTTGCAGTTGTATCAGCACACAAATGCATGCACCAGAATAAAAATTAATATGACTTGAATTGATAATTGTTCAGTAAAATTAGTGAAGTCTTCTTTAATCTATTGAAAACATAGGGATCAAATTTGAATAAAGCATTCTTTAAATAGAAAACGTCTTCCAAAAATGTATTATATGTTTTTCATCTGATGCTGGTTTCCTTGACTTTTAAATATCGCTGTTCCCAAGAGAGATGCAATTATCTAATAGTTTGCAATCCCAATATAACAATCAAATTAATTTTTTGTGTACCGTAGTTCATCAGCCTTGGGAAATACAGACAATCAACCTGCGGGCATAAATTACCAATAATTGCTCAGTAGTTTTAAAATTTGTTCAGAAACTGCCACAAATAGCTAAAAGGGATTGTCTTTCAGAAAACAATGCACGCTAATTCACTGGCAACAAGTCAGACAAGATCTAGATATTTCCAATTTATATAAACTAATTTTAGAACAGAATAACATCTTTTGAGTTGTTCTGGCAGCCAATTTTTTATGACTCGCCAAACAAGATTGGAAGGAATTCTGGGCTATGAAGAATTCCAAGGTGATTCATCTGGTTGAGCTCCTAAACCCCCTTCTAGTATTTATTTAGTCTGTCAAAATAATATGTTGCATTTGGTCTAAAAATGTTGCTCTTTTGATTTTAACATGCTCTGGATGTTGTTAATAGTCGTAATTGCCAGGAACTGAAATAACGTTTTTTTGCTTCTTTCCTTTGTAACCAATTTGTGCACAAAATATTTTCAGCAGGATGTTCTCCCACAAAAGTCCTCTGCCCTCTCAGAGTGGAAGGGCATCTTAGAGCAGGGCTTTTCAACCTTTTCACCCATTGTACCACTTTTAGGATATGGCAATATCCGAGTACCACCAGTCGCCTAGCAAGGTGTCAAAAACTTGATGAACCCCCCCCCCCAAAAAAGAAAAAAAGTGATAAAGTACAGATAGTCCTTGACTTACAACAGTTCGCTTAGGGACTGTTTGAAGTTACAATGGCACTGAAAAAAGTGCCCCCCAAGCCACAGCCGAGCAAGACACCTGCCTGCCCGCCCGGCGGTGCTCTTCCTCCTGTCCGAGGTTTTCATTGTTATGAGCATTTCTCTTGAGGATTGGCAGTGGGGGTGGGGTGGGGGGGGTGTTTGGTTTTTATTCCCCCCCTGTAGCTGGGTGGTTGCAGCAGGTTTTGGTCACTTCACATGACCCTGGGACACAGTGATCGTCATAAATATGAATCAGTTGCCAAGCATCTGAATGTAAATCACAAGACCCTGGAGATGCTGCAACATTCCAGCTGATCGGCGCTTCTTCTGGGCTCAGCAGAAGCATCAGGATCAGTGCTGCTTTCCAGCTGATTGGTGCTTCTTCAGGACTCAGCAGAACCACCAGGATCAGCACCGAGCTCCAGCTGGAGCCTGGCGCTGATCCTGGCACTTCCACTGAGCCCTGACAGCCCCAAAAAAGCGCCGATCAGCTGGAAAGCGGCACTGATCCTGGCGCTTCCGCTGAGCCCCGACAGCCCTGCAGCTCCAGCCATCTCTCGCTCAGGCTTGTGCGGTGCTGCCACCGGTTCAGCTCATTCCCCTCCCCCGCTACCACTTTTCTAGGATGATCGCGTACCACCTGCCAGGTGCCAATGTACCACAGGTGGTACCTGTACCACTGGTTGGAAAGCCCTGTCTTAGAGTGTGCTGTTGTGTTTTCTCCTAGATTGATCTTCAGACATTCCTCACTCTAACAGATCAGGATCTGAAAGAGCTTGGAATTACCACTTTTGGTGCACGAAGGAAAATGCTGCTGGCAATCTCAGGTAAAGAAAAATTACTACCTTGTGCAGTTTATAAGAATTCTTTTTTTCTGTTTTTTTTCCTTGACGGAGTTATTCTCATACACTGAAGGCGGAATATCTCTATTCAGAAACTCAAGGTATCCCTGTGTGTAGTAATATCCTTGTCCATCCTTATCCTGCCAGCCTTAATCCCTCAGTTCTCATAAATCCACTCGTATATCTCTTCAATGGGAGATCCATTGATTTCCCCCGGAGTGAGGTTAGGAACTCTACTAGGTCTCACCTACCATAAGATTGTAACAGCTTCCTAATGTTTGGTTTCTACCTTGATGTTAACATCTGTAATGGTTTATAGTCATCTCTTTATACAGTAGTGGCCAAAATTGTGGAAACCTTTTGGGAAAAGTGTATTTTTGAGGTTTGATGGCTAATAACACCACTTTTTTGGGGGGGGGGAGTGGTACCATAAAATTATATATCAATGGAGAGATAATTTAATCAAGAATATAATGCAGCAAAGTTTGTTCAATTATCTGCACTGTATTCTATGAAAAGTTATAGCCAAATAACCAGAAAAAGGAAGCAGAACTTGCTTAGGTTGATCTCAGGTAGCTTTCCTTCATCTGATTGTAGCCAATGAGTGTGAGTGTTTAGAGAGCCAATCAGATGTCATCTTGTTTTGGCAATGAGCCAATCAGATCACAGTAGGATTCAGTGATTGGTGTCCTGTATTGAAGCTGAGAGGAGGACATTTGTCAGTGTGTTATGGGATCACTATCAAGTTGGTTGGGGTTTTTTTGTGTTCTTTCATTGAGTGAGCTTGTAAAACGTGATAAAATTAAAGTCATGGTGCAAAGAGTTGACTGGTTGCCCAGAAAGCAATGTAAAACAGTATTATGAAGTGAACAAGGCTACAGTTATAAAGAAATTAGAAGAAAAATGGGTGGAAACTTAACCAAAAAGTGGCATTTCTACTGTACACTTTTCCCAAAAGGTTTCCACAATTTTGGCCACTACTGTAGGTTTCCCTTGAAGAGATCCAGGTATATCTCATGTGCTGGCAGCTTGATGCCTCTTTCATGTTCAACCTGTAGTTAACCAAAACAATTGTCTCAATAGATCTGTGACAGATCTATTGCCTTTTCTGACCCAAATCCACCCTAAATTATTTTATATCTCGTGGGGGTATTGCGGTAAAATCTCCAGCTTGAGGGAGGTGTTAAGAAGTGGCCAGTGTGAGTGACTAGCAATAAAGTTCCTGCTTGAGACTATTCATGAGTAGTTCTGGTTAAGAACCATGGAGAATCGACTGGAGGAGCCGTAGTGGCACAGTGGCTGGAATGTAATATTGCAGGTTGCTTCTGCCCACTGCCAGGAGTTCGATCCTGACCGGTTCAAGATCGACTCAGCCTTCCATCCTTCCGAGGTCAGCAAAACGAGGACCCAGATTGTTGGGGGCAATATGCTGACGTTGTAAACCACTCATAGAGTGCTGTGAAAGCATAATGAAGCGATATATAAATCTAAGCGCCGTTGCTATTGCTATTGCTTGCACCTGACAGATACATATTGCATTTGATTGGACTGGACTATTGTTGTTGTTAGTTGCAAAGTCATGTCCAAGCCATTGCGACTCCATGGACAACGTTCTTCCAGGCCTTCCTGTCCTTTACCATCTTCTGGAGTCCACTTAAGCTCACGCCTGGCATTTGGTGTCCAGATTTTGAAGTTAAGCTTCTCTTCTCTCCCCCTCTCCCCACCCCCAGAATTGAACAAAAACCGAAGAAAACTCTTTGACCCCTCCAATGTCCGAGCCTCGTTTCTGGAAGGCGGCGCAAGTGGACGGTTGCCCCACCAGTACCATTCGGACATTGCCAGCGTGAGCGGCCGTTGGTAGCAGGAACGAGAAGCTTTCACAATTGACTGCACAAACTCCATGGACACGGCAATCCTGTGGACCATCACCACTGCACACCACCCTCTGCACTTGGGAGTTTAGGTACCAAGGACCAAAAATCATCTTTTTTTTGCACAACTTCCTGTGTCGAAAGAAAGAAAGAACACTTATCTGTCTTTCCACATGCCAAATGTGGATTACGCCTTTGCTCTTGTAGATTGGACAGAATTTGCAATAATGTTGGGGGGGGTGGAGGGTGGGCGGAGTGGGTGTTTAGTATTTTATGACTTATAATGACTATATTGTATGCACTGAATGAATTTTTTTTTTTTACTTTTTTGAATGGAGAGTGATGGGCAGGAGGGTGCCAGAGCGAGGGGGGGGGGAAGGGGTCATTGCTTATGGTTTTTAATCGAGGAAATTTCTGGTACGGCTTAATAATTAATAGAGGTCTTTCTGCACTTTACGTGTTTGGATTGCTTTTCCCGTGGAAATTTTTATTAACTTTCCTCTTAATTTCCACGGGGAAAAAAGATTATAGTCGTGGCGCTAACCGAGGTTTGCCAAGGGCATTCCCACTCCAGGTGAAAAGGCTCCCCTCCCCATAAAAATGGTACTAGCGAGTTTAAATTGTTGGGTTGTTGTTGTTGTTTTTTAGACAACTGTATGCCACAATCAGATCTGCGAAGAGGAGTCTCCAACCTCTTGAGAAATATTTGCAACGGAGTTTGCACACTGCCAACCCAGCAGTGAAAGACCAAAAACAGAGTTTGTTGCCCTCACTAATCCTAGTTAGCTGCTGCCTTCAACGCTAAACCTGATTTTAAAGATTATCTCAAAGCAAGGACTATTTTTTAGTATAAACTGCCACTAAAGGACACTTTATTTATAGCAAACGTCTTATTTTTAGAACTTGTACACTTAGAGCGTGTAAGAAATTAAAACTGATCTACTAAAGAGTTTATGACAGAGACTGAGAGGCGGATCCTGAAGCGGATCTCCAGGCCCTCCTTCGTTCACTTGACAGAGCATAAATTTCATTTGACGAGACAGCACTCTGGGGTCTATTGCCTAAGGGACGTTGCTGACGTGATTCTCCATGCACCCATTTAAGAGCTTGTCGGGATGGGACATCGGCCTCCTGGATTTAAGTCCACGATTGTCGGCCACGAAGGTTTAGAGTTGGGCTACTTCCAAAACTCTGTATTTGAGCAAAGAGTTTGTGTGATGTCTTGGTAGGGCAAACAGTTGTGTTCTCATCCCGTAAAAGGTCTAGAAATCCAGTTATATTTGTCTCTGTCAAGTGATTTGGTATAATTTTATGAAGGACGAAACGAAGTGCCTCTCAGTGATAACAAAATGAAGTTTCTGAAACGCGAGTTTATCGATAGAAGAAAAACAACATTCCCATTGCATATATTGTGAATTACTTGTACTGTAATTTTTTTCTTTTTTCTTTTATTTATGTACCATGTACAAACCCTCTAGGGTGGAGGCAAACCACTCTTCAGAAAGGCATTAACAATTTACCATGGTGGTTTTTATATGTATAGATACGCAACACAGGGGGGCGAGGAAGAGTTTTGACACTTTTTGTAGATAATATTTCATTTCCGTCATGAAGGAGACACCAACACAAAGGGAGGATTAGGAAGGTGAGAGCTAGTTAAAGTTAGGAAACATATACATCAGAATTCATTTTAATCACAACCTATGACATCTCAACAGCCTCTCACTCCTGCTGAAATAGCTGCTGATATTTCTCTGATTTTGGGGGTAAAAAACCAGGGTCAGATGACCACAGCGAGTGCTTTTTTTCTCAATCCGGAATTGTGCGTTATTCAGGAAACCAAATATATATATATATATATATATATTTCTTTTGAAACATAGCCTGTCCGTCAATTGGTACAAAATCAGAGGCCCTGATATTTTCAAAGAACACCACTCGTTTTATTATGGGTGCTCCCTTCGGTGGGAGAACCCCGCATTGTGTTGTGAAGCACAGCCCTTGCGTTAGAAGTTCAGGACCTCAGGAGGTGAAGCCTTTCACCCATGTCGAAAACTTAACTTTGTGTAATCTGTGCCAGAGTGATTCAGTTGAGTCTTTGGGTTTACATTGAGACCCAACCCACAATATATCCCACTGGAGATTTTTTTTCTCTCTCTCTCGTGGACTTTGTTTCATGCTATTTTTTCCCCCCCAGTTTGAACTCAAATGACCGAATGCTTTGACAGTGTTACCCTTGGAAGACACACTTAAGCTGCAGTCGTCTATACTGAAGCGAAGAATGTCTGAGATATAAAAGTAATGAGAAACCCCACCCCCACCCCCCACCCACCCACTAGAAAAGCAAAACTTTATTAATCATTTGGATTCCACGAGAGGGGGGGAAAAATTGGCAACGCAACATTCCGTATTGTCAGTATTGTATTAATGCACAAAGAATACCGAAGCATTCGTTTTAAAACGTTGTGCCTTTATAGCGACCAGTTATCTGTAAATATAGAGCAGATACAGATTGTATTTGGGGAGGGATCCTTTTTAGTGATTTTTTTTTAAAAAGGTAAATAAAGAAATAAACTATGGAATTAAACATTTACAAATGGAGAATTTCAAACTAATCAAATGTTACATGAAAGAATAAATTTATATAACCCTTGTTAACGTTGTTGGTTAAACGAAGTCTGGTTTTATTTCTAAACGGTTACTAACTCAATGCTCCCTCTTTCCTTTCTTCTCTGGGTGTCAAATTTGAATCTCCTCTTTAACGTGATTTGGGTACTATAAATTAAGATGACCTCTTTGCTCACATTAGTTGGGGAGACTATGTTGGCAGTGACATATGCCTCCAATTAGTTGTGCTGGAATTGAGACATGGACTGAATGGACGACGGTATTGAAGCTTCGACTCCATTAAGCTACGCAGTTGCCCCTTACCCTGTGCTGCTGTCTATAGTGCAAAGATCTTGAGACAGGGAAAACTAGATCTCCATTTTTCCCTTTCCCAGGAACTGCAAGTTAAGACCCACGTGCTTGTAGGGCCTATGGCAGAAAGTTGGAATATTAATAAAAATAATGAACAGACTATCTCAGTGGTGGCGAACCTATGGCACGGGTGCCAGAGGCGGCACTCAGAGCCCTCTCTGTGGGCACGCGCGCCGTCGCCCCAGTCCTAGGCCTTCAGCTGGGTTTTATAAAACCTTTTTGCTTTAGGCCTCCGCCGCCGTGTACAAAAAAAAAAGGTTCAATCAATCAGTCAATTTCAACTTCTCGCGGGAAAAAAAAAGATCTTGCAAAGTTGGAATTGATTGATTGAACTTTTTAGTCCCACCCAGTCTGTTGTTACCACCGCAGCCACGCCCACCCAGTGGGCCACACCCACCCAATGGGCCACACCCACCCAATGGGCCACACCCACCCAATGGGCCACGCCCACCCGGCACCCAACGATGCATAAGTGGGTTTTGGGTTGCAGTTTGGGCACTCGGTCTCTAAAAGGTTCGCCATCACTGGACTATCTGGATCAGAGTTAGAGAAAGATAATTCAGAAGTTAAAGGTTTGTTAAAAGCTAAAACTTAAACATAGATTTGAAGTTCTTTTTAAAGATTGCCAGTTGATTTATTTTGATCAATGTCACCAATGACTTTTGAGGCCCTGTCAGGCAATGACGTCATTCCCGGTAACATTTAAAATGTAAAAACAAGCAGAACGAAAGTGCAAAAAAAATCAAATAAACGTGCCAAGAATGAGTTTCTGCAGTGAAGAAGTGACGCTGTGCGATAAGCAGACCCTTAAAGAAAAGATTATCCAACTTGGAACGATTGTTTTCAAACAGTTGCTCGAAGAAGGACTGTTGGGAGTTGAATCCGGAGAAAGAAGGCCTGGTGGGGTCTCCCCCAGAATGCCAAAAGACATCAGAGCAAAACTTGGGTCATTGATGCTGAAAAGAAAGCCAGGGTGTTTGACTCTGGGGCAGAGACAAAAAAAAATTCAGTGGGGCCAGATCAATTTAGTTTTACTGGAAATCACTTAATAAGATCACGTCCCATGTATTTAATTAAAAAAAAATCCCTTTTCTACAACAATTACTATTTGATGGTGCTCTAAGGCTTGAGGCATCTCAAGTGGCCTCTTTTGCTTTCCAGTGTGAGCCTTATACATGCAGAATTCAAAATACATTTGAGCTTTCTTTCCTTCCTTCCTTCCTTCCTTCCTTCCATCCTCTCCTGCTCTTTTCTTCCTCCTTTCTTCCTTCCTTCCATCCTCCTCCATTTCCTTTCTCTTTCCTTCTTTCCTTCCTCCCTCCCTCCATTTCCTTTCTCTTTCCTTCTTTCCTTCCTTCCTCCTTCCTTCCTTCCATCCTTCTATCCTCCCTCCATTTCCTTTCTCTTTCCT